GATCAGTTTTCTGAGAATTCAGAGTCTTGTTCTCTCAATCTTCATGTCTATTTTGTTTTTGGGTTTTTTTTCCAGAAAACATTCTTTCTAATCTGTTCCAAGTTCTGTATGTAGCTGACGTTTCACAGCATTGGAACATGTACACTGTACTTAATGTGTAAACATGTAAACATATTGTGCATTATTCAGCTGTTTATTTTTAAAATATGTCTATACTTGTAGTCATCGCTACATCTTTGCAATAATTATTGAGCCATATTTCAAATGGTAGATTCCATTTAACACTACTTTATCACTTATAATGTTAACATTATAAATAATGTTGGACACTTTGGAGTATATTTTCTCTATTAGTTACTTCGTGTAGGTTTTTAAGGAAATCATAAAGTTATATGGAATATTTATAAAACTGTAGAGTAATATATCTGGACTATACTATTTGGAGCAGGATATGATATTAAGTTCTGCTACACCAGCAAAATTTGAAGATAATAACATCTGGAGATTTACACTGACTAGCAGTGAGATGAATGACAAAAGTGGGAGTTTTTGCTAGTTGTGCAGTTTCCCTATGGAATTTAGAACTCTCTAAAATGAATGGTTCAGATTATGTTGGAAGTTTATCAATGTATGGAAAGCTTCTCACTGCAGATGCTGCCCCTTTAATCTACAAAGATCCACAAAGATCTGAAGGCAGGCAGGGAAAAGACTAGAAGAATGGATCCAACATGCCCCAAAGCCAAAAAATACTGGGAGAAAATACACACACAGCTGGAAAATATGATAGGACAACAAATAGACCTGAAACCTGAGACACTTTTGTTGGGTATGCTTTCAGGAAATTATGATAAGGATAACACATATTTGGATCTACAGATCCTAACAGCAGCTAGGATCGCATATGCCCCAAGTTGGAAAAACCCAGAAACCCCTGCAGACGCTATTACAATCAAAATAATTCTGGATGACAGTATGTTAAATGACAGATATTGAGGTTAGAGGTGTGGTATTAGGTGAAATATGGTTTATAGGAGAAAGAAAAACAGATGAGTAAATATTTTTGACGGTTATATAATCGATACTATAATGGAAGATAATATATGTTATAATATGATTGATGTTATTACATATTTGTGTCAGCTTTGGAAGCCATATTAGGCCGGAAGCTTCCATGTTGCCACCTTCTCATGTGTGGGAAAGTAGGAGGAAAATAGACATAATAGCATTCTTGTTTATATATATATATGATCATAATGATGATGATGATGCTTGTATGCTTGTATGTTAACACCTTGGACATCTAGAGAGCACACGGCTCAACATAGAAAGGAAATATATGATATAAAACAATAAAAATATTTTTTAAAAAAATTGGTCCAAGAGAATTATCCCCATTCTTTTCTTGCAATGCTAATTCTAAATCAATAGGGTGATAGAATTCTGAATAGAAATATTAAGGAACTTAATTTGCAGTGCATGTGATGGGCTCTATTTATTTATTTATTATTATTTATAGTCCAATTTTCAGCTAAGATTGAATCTCAAAGCAGAATTGTTGGTTGTTGTAGTTTTTAATTCAGGGTACAGACACAGCATAATTAAAGATGCTTGAGTATGCACATAAGAAACAGAAAAAGCAATTTGGTTTGGATTCTGGCATCTGATATTATAAAGTAGGTCAGTTAATTTGGAGTGTAGATTTAGATCTTGAGTAGATATCTGAAACTGAACTGACCCATGAGTTTCCGACAAGGTATGTCTTATTCAGAATAAAATTGTTGGTCTACTTACAAGTGAAACAAAACCTTTGCTAGGCAGAAAATATATTACGCCCTTTAGGTAGTATATCTGGTTCAGAGTAGCCATTATAGACTGAGAAACACATGATAGGCAGATGAACATGTACATGGAAATCCTCACATACACCAGTGCAGAATGGTGTAACATAAGAACTGTGATGAAAAGAGCAATCTAGCACCATCACTCTGGTATGGATACTGAAGCAAAAATCAATCTGTAATATGTGATAGATCAAATTGCAGCATCACAAAACCGTGCTGACAAATCATATTTTCAAGTAATACGTTGCAGCAGCTTACTCAAGCAGATGTCACCCAGACTTGTTGGACTGCAATTCTCATTATTCCTGGTCCAGTATATCTGGGTGTCACCTGGCTGAGAGATGCTTTATTACTCTATGTCCAGTATTTGGGAAATATGCCACCCGGAGCCACGTGTGTGAGATGAGCAGCCATATAAATCTACTAAATAAATAAATAAGTCAACAATGTCTCCTGAAGTTTTTATATAGTAAAAAAAATATGTCTGGGATTCATCTATAACTAAGAAGACTCAGTGACTGTATATAACCCATATTTATGTAATATATTAATAATGGCCACTGAACAACTTTGGACTAATCAAATTTCTTAGAATGAATATGATTAAAGGAAGAAAAGTTATCCTGAGTCCTGTTCTGATCTACTTGAATAAAAGACATGAATCAGATATACAGCATTTGTTTCTTTTAACAATTAGGAATTTTTCAAAGAGTTGTATAATAATATGGCAGCTGATTTCTTAATACACATGAACATAAAGTATACAAAATATAGGAACCTCACATATTCTCAACTAAGCTATCAGTCCACCTAGTTCAATGTTGTCTATATTGATAGGTAGCAACTTCTCAGTTTGCTCTCTCTGAAGATGTTGCAAATTGAACCTGGAATAGTTTGTATGTAAAATCTACTTTACAAAGCTGAGAAGTTTGATTATAAAGATGAAAAAAATAAAATGAATTTAACTGGTATTTCAATATAAAAATGTAAAACAAATTGCAAGTACCTTTTGAAATTTGTATACATAGCTATCAAACAATTCCCAGCAACGTTATGTAAAACTCAGGAAAAAAATGTCTTGATATGTCTGATTGTATATACCCCTTAGCCAGGGGTTTGCAGGTAATAGTATGTTGGCTTGTAAGTTAGTCTTATATGGCCACCCATCTCAAATATATGACTCTAGGCGGTTAACAACATTAAAATGATTTTAAAATTAATTATAAAACTAATAACCAGAAAAAAAATATAAAGCCACAATTAAATATTCAACATAACCAAGAAATGGATTGCATTCCTCACTTGGAAAGAAGCTTAGACAAATGCCTCCCTGATTTCCCTGATTTATAAGGGGGAAAGGTAGGTACAATCAAATTTGCAATCAATCAAATCTTGATTAAGGTCATAGACCATAAAATGCTGTTATGACTGCCTATCTCAATGAAGCATAATTATAGTATTCCTATGGAGTTGTTTTGTTGTTGTTGTTGTTGTTTTTTGGTATGGTCTATCCAGTGGGGCTGACATCTTTTAGGATCAACTATGAAAATCAAGAAATGTGCTACAGGCTAGCACCTGGTAGAGTAACAAAGAAGGCCTTGGAAAAGATTTCAGAAATCAGGATGCATCTATACCTAGAAAGATCAGAAGTGTGCAGAAAATGGTTTTCCCTATAGGACTTTATGGAAGTGCAGCTTGGAATCTGAAGAAATGGGATAGTAAGAGTATTGATGCTTTTGAGCTTTCATTGGAGGAGACTCCTAAGAATGCCATGGATAGCCAAGAAAACAAACCAATCGTAGAGAGTAAAAAGGATGTTCTTGACAGAGAGAAGAGATCTGTTACCAAAATGACAAGGAAGGAAGGGGGAATTCAGAAAAAAAAAAAACGCCTTCTCAGACATATCCCTAATTCACATTATGATAAAGGGATAGGAGGTAAAATATAATCAGATTTGCAAGATTAGTGTCAGCCCCAATATGTAGATCAGACCAAGAAATCAACTCAACATTCAGACTAAAAATATTATTAATATAGCAATGGAATCTTGAAACTGCTATTGGAAGGAATTTTTCCCCTGACTTCAAGATAACATTGAGTCCTTAACATTAATAACCCTTAACCCTTAATAAACTCACCCTCATATAAATTTATGTAAACCCTTTGAAAGCCATCAAAATTAGTGACCATCACTCCATTTTGTGATATTAAATATTAGTTGAAGAATGTATTAAGTAGGCAGTCTTAAACTTAATTTTATAATAGCAACTTAAATTTGGTTTCTGCTACTATCTAATAACATTTTCCAGTGTCACCTGAACTATTGTCTCTCCTTATCACTATACAGCAGCTATCTGGCTGTTGTTAATATGAGGAACATATTATATTTAGTTTTAAAAGCTTTCTAGATAGAAGGATTTATACTGTATAGCAGAGAATTTTGTGATTCTCTGCATCAATGCAAGAAAAGATTGACTATTTTCACTGCTTTGTGAAATACAGCTCTTTTGTCCTTAAACACCTTCATATTATGGTTTAATTTCTAAGCTTCCTTGGTAGGAGTTCACTGAATTAAAAAAAAAAAAAACCCTGCATTTTCAAACAAATTTCACTTTGGCCTTTTCAGCAATGCCTTGCAAATTTCACCACTTTTCATCTCATACAGTTCTTCAAAAGATGCCTTAATAATTGCATGAGAGCGAGAATGAATCTGAAGAGCATTCAGGCAGCTAATATAAGTGCATTTGTAAAGGCTTTGTATTATAAACCCAGAATAATTCTGGAATGACAACTATAGTCTCTTCTCCAACGGCAGGAATGTCTTATATTATGAAAGGAATGATTTTCATAATCAAGTTTGCTTTTTAAAGAGGGCTCAGCATATTTTCATTTCTGTGGGAATAAATCCAAGAGTGTTTTATGTCTTTTATTATACTTGTTAAAGGTCTTGAATCTAGACTGTAGTAGCAAACAGTACAGACTGTAGGCTTTAAGTTCTGTTTTCTCCAGTAGATGTCACTTGCAGTACATAATAATTTATGTAAAAAATAAATAAATAAGAGAAGTATTTGATCCTTATGTATTTGAAAGCCTTTTTAGTGCTTGTGGTTTCTTACGCAGACAATAAATTCAGGCATTTAAGTTCTTTAAACCCCAACAGTGAAGCAAATTAGTTTATTTCCAGTTTGATGTAGAGAAGTGTTTTAATAAAAATTGCATTAGTTGAAAAAAACAAAAACAAAAGAGAAGCAAATACATTTCATGCAAAATACAACAACTGGATTGCAATCAGCACACTAGTATGGGTGTGTTGGGTTTAAAATAATTTTACTCGCTTACAAATGTTATTTGATTCTGTTTTTGAATCACCTCATATATTAATAAGGAATGTACTATTTGAGTGTGCATCCTCATATATACTTGCAAGCTTGGCAAAATTTACAGAATTATATATGTACATATCTGAAGGAAGGGGGAAGAAATAAATAAAGGGAAAGAATAATGCCCAGATCAGCTTAATGATAACTTTATGTACCATGTGGCCCTAATGACGACTAATGGGGGAGAAGAAAATTATAATTAAAATGGAGAATTTAATTGGAGTGGCTTAGAAGAATTCATGACTGGCTCTCTAGATTTCTGGATAGAGACACTGAAATATTATTTTTATGAATCATATTGGAAAATTTAAAAAAAATAGCAGGCATGAGTGCTGATTTACAAATGCAGTTGGAACTTATAGATATGCAAAAATAGAAAAAAAAATCATTTAGGAAAAAAGATACAAGCTGCAATGGAAGTTAGAATCAGCCATAACAATAACTGGGTGTGTTTACTGACTACAGGATATTGAGTAGTTGTTGGGAGAGAGGGAGACAAAAAAATTGGATGGGGTCAAAAAATGGAAAATCGTAAAAAAGACCATGGCTGATAGGTGAGTGAAACGGTAAACAGAATCACTACGTAATGCAACATACTGTTATCACCTCCATTTGTAGAAATGTCGAGTATAAGAGAAGAGTTAATTGTGACACAGACAGTTATAAATTAAAAGTTTTTACTTAGAAAGTAAAATGAGTAAACTTCACGGGAACATATTCATCTCTCAAAAAGAGCATGACCAGAGTTTGAGGTTGAAACCAAAGGATGCACTGTTTCCTCGCAACCCTTCTCTAGCAGCAAGATTCAACTGTGGCACGTTTCCTGTGGGCGATAAAGAGAAAAAGCATATCATACAGCTACATACTGTTGTAACAAAACAAAACAAAAAAAACCCTAAAAGAACTAAGCCATCCTGTTCTGAATCTGTAATAGTCAAAATGGGACACGATCTGTTTTGCAATCATTTATAGATTATCCTTTTCACGTATTGTAAAACTTGTTTTAGGTTTTCCAACAACTGGTGAAACTGTTGCTTTCATCCTATGTAATAAGCCATGTAGGCATACTCTTTGGACATATTTGGTTTTAAGCCGTATTTGTTCTCACTTTCTGACTGTGCAATTATATTTTTGTAAACATCAACAGGAAAGGAGAAGGGGAAACATATCCTGCTTAGGTCAATCTTAAATAATGGTCTTTATTTTGCCATCCATAATCTACCAGAAATTTAATCATTGCATGTCTTACTTATCCACATGTTTTATGCAGCTCTTTAATTCCTCCAGCAGTAGAAAAACCAACACTGGAATCTTTTTTTAATTACTCAACAGGAAATTAAGGTTGCCAGCTATTTTTCTGCAAGGAACTCCCCTGCTTTTAGCAGCTGTGGAAGAAACAAGATTTCTTTCTTATATGGACATCCACAAAGAGAAAAGATTCCCAGGTTTCTACTTATTTTGCTTTTAAAAGCAGGAGAATTAGCTCCTTCTATATTCAACATATGATCTTGATCCAAGGCTTTGTCATCCTTGGGGATACTGTATCTGGATTGCCAAAATCTGGCTGACTGCCAGATGGCAGCAAAAATATGCTGTATATAACTGCATAGTTTATACGTTTTCAAAAGCTTTTATGCTGAATATATAATATATGGGTACAGGTAAAACATTTCACATAGTCAATTAAAAATACATAGATCTCTTTGAAGATCTTAGCCCCATTGAAATGAATGAAATAAACAAGGAATTAACACTAACTTGTGTCTCAGTAAAGAATATATCACTGTGTTAACTTTCTTTGGATTAAAATCAAAGATCTATAAGGCTGTTTAGGGCATCCTGCAAATTCACTCAGAGCTATTTACAGGTTTTTATTATTATTATTATTATTATTATTATTATTATTATTATTATTATTATTATTGAATTTCTATACCGCCTTACTCCCGAAGGACTCAGGGCGGTGCACAGCCATGAAATAAAAGACATAGATATACAAAATTTAAAATCGAATAAAATGAATTAAATAAATTTGGCTGAATTAATACCCATAATTTAAGATACCCATATTTTAAAATACATTAAAAATTTAAAATTTACACTTAAAAGGGAGAAGATTTAGGCGAGGCCAGCTTGATGAAATAAAAGCGTCTTCAACTCGCGGCGGAAGGTGCGCAGATCCGGAATCCTCCGTATCTCTGGGGGGAGCTCATTCCAGATCGTCGGTGCCCCCACAGAGAAGGCTCTCCCCCTAGGGGCCGACAGCCAACATTGTTTGGCCGACGGCACCTTGAGGAGCCCCTCTCTGTGGGAGCGTACTGGTCGGTGGGAGGCTGTTGATGGTAGTAGGCGGTCCCGTAAGTAACCAGGTCCCAAGCCATGGAGCGCTTTAAAGGTGGTAACCAGAACCTTGAAGCGCACCCTGAAGACCACCGGGAGCCAGTGCAGCTCGCGCAGGAGAGGTGTTACATGGGAGCTCCATGTTGCTCCCATAACCACCCACGCAGCCGCACTCTGCGCCAGTTGGAGCCTCTGGGTGCACCTCAAGGGGAGCCCCATGTAGAGAGCATTACAATAGTCCAGACGAGAGGTGACGAGGGCATGAGTGACTGTGCGTAACGAGTCCCGATCTAGAAAGGGACGCAACTGGCGAATCAGGCGAACCTGATGAAAAATCCTCCCGGTCACGGCCGTCAAGTGCTCTTCTAAAGACAGCCGTGAGTCCAGGAGGTTTTGGTTTGATGCAAATTGCTAGAAATTAATGAATTTGCTATAATGAAGATTGGGGACTCCGGACCTAAACCTATTAAAGTTCTTAAACAGTCCTTAAATGTCTGCTAAGAAGTGCCTTTAAAATGACTGGTGCTTAGTCTCAGATAACTTGGAACAGAATTATAGTTTAAACACTTAAATCTTTGACATGTCTTCTTAAAATTAAGTCCCAATTGGATTTATTCTCAGGGATATGAATATAATTTAAGTTTTCAGTTTAAGAACCTAGTTCCATTCTCAAGGTTTTGTCTTTCAGTTGAATTTGTATATTAGTCAGAACACTATACATTATACACTATTATACAAGTACCGTGTTTCCCTAAAAATAAGATCTTGCCTTATATTTTTTTGAACCTTGAAATAAGCACTTGGCCTTATTGCCATGCGCTCAAAAGCCCGATTGGGTTTATTATCAGGGGATGTCTTATTTTGGGGAAAGGGTAGTATATTGTAATGAACATGAACCATTGCTTATCTAACTTGAAGCCTTGTGTATTTAACTTTAATTTTGTTACAATAAGCTCCTTTCTTAACTTTGGTTGTCCTTAAACTGGGGTGTTTTTAACCCAGGGACTTGCTGAATAGGATTGCTGAAGAGTTTAGAAATATATGATTTGTAAATTTTCTATAACTCTACAACTTCCTATAATATTAATTGCAACTTCTCTGATGTAAAAGTAACGTTGTCCCTTTTCATGTAGGTCTGGCAATATATATACATTAATGTATCCTGACATTACGGTATTGAATATTTTTCTTGAAGCACAACTCTGATGTCCTCTAATTATTCACCATACCTGTTATAGTCAATGAGTGACATTAGCTTTTAAAATAGGTCACTCTTTGCCACTGGTTTGTATTTTTCCATTTCCATTTAAAAAACAAACTGAATTATTATTATTTCCTTAATTAGCCTGGACCAATCTACAGTACTTGTGCATTGCTACCTTATCATGTAGAAATTAGATAATGCAGCTATATTTTGTATTACTATGAAGTTCAGGTAATATAAATGATCGAAAAAACAGACTAGTGAATATGCTAATTTAAGGAATAAGAAAAGGCCTGGCATCATTTGTTCACTGTATTTTTTATATTAGGAAGTGGGTTGATTTCTTAAAATATAATGAACTGGATCCTAAACTACATATGAATGCAAATGTTCTCCAACAGAAACAAAGAACATTTTTTGATTACTGATCTTTAATTGTATGCCCATGCTACACAATTATTCCTATATTTTGGAGTATCAGAGAATCTAATACAAGAGCCATGGTGGTGTAGTGGTTAGAATACAGTATTGCAGGCTACTACTGCTGACTGCCAGCTGCCAGCAATTAGGCAGTTCGATTTTCACCTGCTCAAGGCTGACTCAGCCTTCCTTCCTTCCTTTCTTCTGAGGTCAGTAAAATGAGGTCCTAGAGTGTTGGGGCAATATTCTGACTGTGTAAACCACTTAGAGAGGGCTGTAAAGCACTGTGAAGTGGCATATAAGTCTAAGTGCTATTGCTATTAGATAGCTTTAAAAGGAAAAAGTCCTTTGGGCAATGGATGGTCACCATTGGATGTATTACAGTAATCCTTGTGTCAAGACCATTCAAAGTTATTATGGTGGCACTAAAAAAATTACTTATGACCAGTCCTCACATTTATGATTGATGCTGTGACATGATCACAGTTCAGGCACTTGGAAACTGGTGCTAATTTACAGTTGTTGCAGCATTCCAGGGTCACATAATTAATTGGTTTTTATCAAGCAAAGTCAATGGGGAAAGTTGGATTCACTTAACAACTGTGTGATACACTTCATGACATTAGTGAATGCTGATTCACTTAATGACTGTTCCCAAAAAATGGGTGTCACTCACCCACTGAACAATTGCATTGCTTAGCAACAGAAGTTCCAGTCTCAACTGGGGTCATAAGTCGAGGAATATTTGTATTGCATGAGTTTTATTTTAGTTTTAGGATTTTTATTCATGTTTTGTTTTTACAATATAAAATGTTACTTTTGAGTCCAGCAGTACAAATAAATAAATAAATATTTATTCCAGGAAGAATTCCAGGAAACTGCATGGGGAAAATATATAGATATTATCACAGGGGAATGGGGAGGAGGAGGGCAAAAAAGTCAAGGCAGTGACTACAGTTGATAGCACACATGCAAAAAGAACTTTGATTGTGTGGGCGTGGCTGCTGCCTTGACTTTTTGAAATCTCTCCTGCAGATATCCTTGCCTTATCCATTGGCAAGCAGTAATAATGCCTCTTCTTTCACAGCTTCCAGGTTCTCAGCTATTATGTTCAGATTCAAGCAACTCTGTAGCCAAACTTCAAAATATCATTTATTTGCTCTAAATATATAAAAGTAATCTTTAAAATATTCAGTCATCTTTACACTATCACTTCTTGCAGTTGTTTGCGTACAAGATAGAGAGATAAGAGAAATGAAACAGAAAGATATAGTAGCTGTGTAACAAGAATACAAGTGATTTTTTTAAAAAATTGCTCCGTCGTCAGGCCCTGATCAACAATGTAGAATAATCCAGTCCACTTCTTTATTTGTTCCTATCAAATAGACAGAATCTTGCCGGTGTAAATCTTTACTATTCTCACTCTAGTGAATTTACCCTGGGAGATTCTAGGGAATGGCTGTTTTAACTCTCTTCCTCTGTCTCCTATCCAGCTGTGGCTATGTTGTCTCTTGGTGCATCCTTGGAATATGCTCCCTTCTTCCCAGGAAACTGCCACATCACATCACCTCCCCCTCTGTTGGTACCACCCACCATATCCATAGAACATGTGCTAATTACCCTTTCAATTAAAGACTGCTTTAAATAGAAAAAAAATATTTTCAATTCACCTTAACACTTGTACAGGTGGAGGAAAGGGCAAGTCAGTAGGGTGGAGTTTATTACTTGGAAGAGAATGGGAAGCAATCCCATTCTCTTGTACATCTCAGCCTAACACTTATGAACAATAGCTATTCAGATAGGACAGGAATGGTAAGGAAACAGAACTGCCTAAGGTTTCAAAATAAATTGGTCAGAATTCATATGCAGATCTGTGTTCAACCATGAATTCTAAAATATGATTACCTCTTTATATTTATTTAGGTTACTACAGGTCGTCCTTGCCTTACAATCAATCGTTCAGTGACTGTTTGAAGTTACAACAACACTGGAAAAAAAGTGACTTATGGCTATTTTTCACACTTATTCACAGACCATTGCAGCATCCCCATGATCACATGATCAAAATTCATACCCTTGGCAACTGGCATGTATTTATGACAGCTGCAGTGTCCCAGGGTCATGTAATCACCTTTTGTGATCTTCTGACAAGCAAACTCAATGAGGAAACCAGAGTCCCTTAAATGTATTACCGTCTTTAGCAATTGCAAGTGGTTCCTTTAACAAGTGTAGCAAGGAAGATTGTAAAATGGGCAAAACTCACTTAATAAATGTCTCGCTTAGTAACGAAAATCTTAGGCTCAGTTGTGGTCTTAAGTTTACACCTGTGTTAAGTTTACAGAATTGCATATTCAACACCCACTTATGTTTTTCTAACTATACTGAGAAATTTAGGTTGCAATTCTACAGTTCCTGCATTGGCAGGATCAGAGCAAAATTTGAGTTCCCTCCCAAAATTAAAGAAAGGAACCTGACCTTGAAGGTTTAAAACCTCCCCAAGCTTTTCAGCTTAACTGAAAAGAGGTATTTTCTGATGTGACACATTCTAATATTGAAAAGAGGGAAAAGGAAGCACTGGCAAAGGTGGGGCAGCAGACCAGTCGGGTGATACGTGTACCCTGCCTATTGTTCTTTTTGTAAGTTTAATCTTAAAAGCCATCCATAATAGCATAATAGCAATTGTCTGCTGTAAACCTCCCTGGGAATATTGTGCACACTGCAGTAGTCAAGGAAAAATGAAACCGAGACATGAATAACTGTTGCCAAATCTGACTGAATCAGGAAGAGTCACAGGAGGGCACCAAGTAATTATAAAATAACATCCCTCCAATACTAACTTACTCCAGTATTAACATTCCATAACTGCTCTTTATTCTGTAATAATGCTTTCTCTTTCCCAGTAGAAATAACTGCTTCATAAATGATGACTGCAAGTTAAAAAGCATCTCTTCCACAGGTCACTTTAGAGCAAGGAATATAAACCCATTTCGGTGCTCAAAATATTGAACTGCATTTAATCAAATATTTGTTCAGAAAATCTGTTCCATCCCTGATCTTAAAGGTGTGAGTAAAATGTTTTACACTTTGGAGAGCGAATCCTTTTTCGATGGCTTTTTCTTTGGTAACTGTTCAGAATTTATAAAGGCATATCTGCCTGGAATTTAAATATGGAGCCCAGAAGTGTACTTTGATATTGGAAAAGTACCGGAGACATTTCATTCTCTAACAGAACCATCTTGGGGATTGGTAAGGACATGAGGTTAACCTTTTCCAAAGTTATTTGACATCTAGGTCTCCCCTTCCATAATATTTTGACATGGGTTAATTGCCAACTTCACCTATTAAGAGAAGGACAGTTAGTCCTCAATTTATGACCACAATTGAGAACAGCATTTCTGTTGCTGAGAAATTTGTTAGGAGAGTTTTGCCCCATTATACCACCTTTCTTGTCACAGTGGTTAAAGTGAATCATTGTGTTTGTTAAGTTAGTCACATGGTTGTTAAGTGAATGTGGATTCCACATTGACTTTGCTTGTCTGAAGGTTGCAAAAGCTGATCACATGACTCCGGGACACTGCAACCGTCATAAATACGAACCGGCTCCTAAGCCCCTGAATTTTGATCACATGATCATGAGGATGCTGCAAAGGTCATAAGTGTGAAAAATGGTCATAAGTCACTTTTTTTCAGGGTCATTGTAACTTTGAATGGTCACTAAATGAACTGTTGTAAATTGAGGATTACCTGTACAGCAAAGATTGTACAACTTTCTTATAAAAGAATGAAGTGCCATCTCAGTTTATTTTGATTCTGAACAGTAGTGGGTTCCACTTACCTTCGCTACTGGTTCGGAATTGGGAGCGTGCGCGTGGTGCTTCTGCACATGCTCAGAATCTTCTGTGCATGCACAGAGCATCCATGATGATGTCCAGGTGGGTGGGCAGAGCCTCCTGCCACTGCCACTATTGGTTTGCCCGAACCGGGGAAAACCGGTAGAAACCCACCACTAATTCTGAGGTCATCAGTGACTGTGTTTAAAATTACCTGATTTGAACCAGTAAAAATGTTGCATCAGAATTATCCCAGGAAGAAAACTGAATGCCAAGCAGCTGAGGAAACGCAATGCAAAACATAGTAGTTTGTTGGTTTTCAATGGGTAAATGATTAAAATCCAACACAACGAAATTAAATTATTGTCAATGAGCACATCATTATTTCCTTTCATCATTATTTTTGAAATGTCCACATTAATTTACCCATTCAGGCCCTTCCAAATATTGATACTTTAGTCACACTGAAAACTGGCCAATATGAAATAGTTTCGATTGAAATGGCTATCGTGGCTGTCTTTGAAAAGATTTTGCTGTTCTCCAACAATTGCTTTAAACATGGGTAATTCACTGGATGCTTATAATCCACTAAATATCAGTTGGATCATCTGCAGTGGATATAATTTTAGATCGGTACCTGGATCAGTAAATATACATCTAACCAAGAAGGGTTACAATTTATTTATAAGCATTTTTATGATATCTTCAGACTGGAATGCAAAGTAAAATTATCCCCCAAAAAACAATGCAATCAAAGTATCTTTCTTTTTTTAATTATTTCCAGCTGAATAGAATTTTGTTAAGAATGTATATAAGAAACTCATTTATGTCTTTCTGTCTGTCTCTTTTAGATCTTAAACCAAACTTTCTAAAATCAGAACCTAATTTGGCGTGGTGTGAGATGGGAACGAAAGAAACACAAAACTGAAAAACGAGCCAGTTTCAGCCAAAGGCTTCAGATACAAAATAATAATAATCCTCCCATGGGATATGCAGTTGGGCAGTGGTTCAGAAGGTTGCCAACGCTAAACTTTTAGCTTCCTTTTTTCTATCATGTGATCCAGAATGATGCTATTTTTAAGGGGTTAGAAAGAATGTCAAAAGCCCTATTCTGTGTGCTGTCCCTATCTTATTAATACCTCCAATCAGCAGAGTAATATAAAATTACCCAATTACATCTTACCCAAGGTCCAACATAATCCATGGCTGATGCAGCACCCGCATGTACAGGGAAAGCTTCACAGAGTAAAATAAAATCCTTCCTTGATTGAATGAAGGAGGAGGGCCGGCTGTGACAACAGAGAAAATGAAACTTCATTTCCCTGAAGTGACTTGGCATCAGGCTCAGGCATAATATGGTTTCTTTGATTTCATTTTAACATGATATACACACCTAGCCATTGTGATTAATAAGCCTATAATATATAGGTAAATTTTCTGTATAAAAAGGACCCATTATGACAGTTAACAAATCACAGTTTAAGTAACTGTGGAAAACAGTTTTCCACCATTTAAGTAAATGGTGGAAAACAGTGTTTAAACACTCAATAGTCAGGGAACAAAATATTCCATGGGCATATGTTTCCATGCAATAGAATGGGACTTTACTGGATATTAATTGATTTGTCTGTATTTATTCATAATTCTTTTTTTTTTAAATTTAGCAAAGCAATCAAAGACAATAGAAGACTTTGGCCAAGTCAAAATACTGGTAAAATTGTTTATTTTAAATGAACGAAAAAGTGGTATTTGATCAGTTGGTAGATTTTGAACAATGGAGAGTATGGGAGGACCAGAACATAAACTTACAAAAAATATTGACTTCTTTTATTTACCACCTGTACCCCAATTTACGAAGTGTACTCTAATCAAATGCTTGGAAGCTGACAATGCCATTACTTGTGTTATTTGACATTGTCTTGTTCTTTGTTGATTTCTTGATTTTGTTGATAAAGCTATTTTGAATCATTTCTGACTACATATGATTCAGAATCATTAGTATGCAATTCATGTGTATGCTTTTTCTGCATATATGGTTATTTCTGCTAAGTATCTGAATTTCTCTCTTTATTAACATTGAAAGAAAGCTTATAAGAACTAGATTTTTTTTATTTCATCGGGTACCTTTCCTGCTAATATAGGCAATAGGATTCAATTGATACAGCCTAACTACCTATCATTTTGATGTACAATATTGTAACATGAAAGACTTTCATCTTCTGAATGTCAATAGAACTTACTTCCAACTACAGAAAAGTTGTATAGGATTGCTGCCCTAATTTGCATTTCCTTAGATTAGTTGAATATGATAAAGTCCAATTTTAAATATGTTAATTTTATAATTTTAAATATGTTAAAGTCCCAATTTTACAATGAACCCCATGACTGAACTTTAATTTATTTTTACCATTTTTGAAAACAATAGAAAATTTTAAAGTCTGATTAAATCTAGAGCTTGGGAAATGTTTAATAGTTTTAGACTTTATTACCAAATAAAATAGGTCTTGTTTTGGTTGTCCTGCGCTTGTCTTTCTTGTGTCCTTCTAAGCTCTCCTAGAGAAGGATTGATTGCATGGGTACAGCACTGGATATTAACAAAGGGTTTTTGCTTGTTATTTTAAAGAAGAATATAATGCACCTTCTGTAGGAAAAAAAATCTGTCCAATTGTTTTGCTTTTGCTAGTAAAGAGAATAACTGATGACCATCCTATACCCTGAAATGTATCCTTTAATTTGTCTGTAAGCACTATCCCACAATAAAATAAGCAGCACTTTGACATACTTGTACAAAATATTAAAAAGTGCAGAGATATTTGAAATTGGCTTTGATTCTTGACAATCATGTTTATGCTTTGAGCCCACCCACTTGCCTCTTGCCTCACCCATATGTGCCCTAAGCATATTTCATAAGATATGTGTGTAGCTCTTGACCTTGTGATTTGGTTCCGTTTGAATATTTTATATAGAATTCACTGGGTGCAAACTGTGAAGCAGAAGGCTATTTTCAGAAAGAACTATTCTTGAATTAATTAGACCATTTCACTGTTTTAAAAAAATGGGGGTATAATCCAAAGAAAAACTTTTAACTCCTCAGTTTAAGTAATGCTTAAATCTCCACCTTGCATTAATATGTTCAATAAATTGGACAATGTCCCCAAAATATGGTGCTTGCACTGGAGCTTTAAAAAGCCATGGAGAAAAAAAATGTATAAAATGTTATAGTGTCATATATGAACATATTTTTCTACATTACCACTGAGGATGTATTTATCTGGCCACAATAATACTATTATCATATTTAATGATAATAATATTTAATAATTATTAAATTATTATTTAATAATAATGCTATTATCATATACTATTTGTTGTATATGAATCATTGGAATATTTAAGAAATTTGCCAGTTTAAAACAAATAATTTAGCATTATTGCCTACATTAAATACTGAAGTTATATTATTATGCATGTATGTGTCACAGTCCTCTGACCACAATCCTAATCTATTAAAATCAATAGTCTTTGGTCAGAGTGAGTGAAAAATTGCTTTGCTAATGTGTTTCATGATGTGGTTTATTTCCAGGACTGAAGCATCATTCTTAAAGCCATTAAACTCTATGGTGCTTACCTCTAAATAGGCATGGATGTGAACCTACCAAAAGTAAGGGGACATATGCCCTTATACTTGCAAGCTAAAGTAATTATCTTCAGAAACCAACAGAGCTGATTCTTCATCTTTATTCATGTACACCAATAAAATTGAATATCAGAACCACACTTCTGTCAAGGATTTTTATCTAATGGCCTTGAACAAGTTACAGATTCTGTAAAATGACTGTAAAATGGGATTCATAATAAATAGTTGAAGGAGTGTCGTAGAGATGAATGCAGGAAAAATCATACACCATACCATACACTGACAAGTTTTCTACAACATTCAAACATAGATAAGTTAATTTTACTACATGTATTTTATTTTATTTAATATCAGGCAATGTTAAATGTGTGATGGCTTAGTTACTCAAGTTTCTAAAGGTCTCATATATTTGAATATCTTCTTACTATATGAGAGAAACTGAGTTATAATCAGGTCTTCTCTCAGCCCATTTCTCCGGATAATGTTTAGCCAGATGTACTACTGATCTAAAAATGGCATTCTGCAGAATGCCATTAAGGAAGCTCAAACTCCATGTGTATATCACATTTCTTTTGGTGCTTCTCAGAAGAATTTGTCTTGGTTGGTATTCCAGATAAAAGTGAAACATGGGACATATAAGACAAAAGAGTGCCTGTTCTCAGGTTCTTCAAACTCTTATGTTATGGGATGGAATAGGTTTGCTGTGACAACAGCAAACAGTTTGATCATGTGCAAGTTCAACTAATTCTCATTAATTGTAAATAACTCCCATTAATAAATAAACAAAGCCATTAATAAATAAATGTAAGTGGAATCAAAGGTCTCCCTCAAGTCAAGGAGCAAAATTCCCAAATCCAGTGAAATTATTTTGGTACCTGATGCTGAAAATGGTGTAAGTCATTCTGTCTTTCTCCTGCAACCTTAACAAATTAAATTTTTGTCAATTTTATTTCTTTTTCTGATCCTTTATCAAATCTGCATCTTGGTTCCTGATGGTAGTGTAGCACATAAAGGAGCGAAAGGGGTAGGGGCACAGGATGAGGGCAAGGGACAGGGAAAGTGGGGGAGACAGAGAGGGAGAGGGAGAGGGAGAGGGAGAGGGAGAGGGAGGGAGGGAGGGGGAGAGAGAGAGAGATTTCAATTAGCCTGTGAATTGACTCAAGGATATATATAATTCCTGCAGTTTAGCAGTTCCCTACCTTTGATTTAAACTTAGTCTAAACTTGGTCTAAACTTTCCTAGGAATACTTTTGTAAAACTATCACAAGATCTTGTAATCTTCTCAACCCCACCTCCAGTATCCACTTTTCTGTGAAGATCGGTGCCAAGGAAAATATCAGGTTGAAACTTTAGGGCATAAGCATCTTAAAAAGAAAAGAAAGCAATGATTAATATAACCATGAAAGAAAATAAAACATATGGTTATAGGTGTTTTTTTTTAAAAAAAAATTAAAGTTTTAATCTGTATTAATTATTCTATAAGGGTAACAGGGTTGCAACTATTCTCAGTTCTGACTAACACCAGCAGATAACAGCAAGTCTGAAGAGCTCCAGACATTCACCAGAGCTGTTGGCTTGTTTTGTTTGCAAGTGTGGATGTGGTTTGGGGCGGGGGGGGGGGGGGGAAGAAACTCCCCTCCCCTTTATGTTTGCCATAGTTATAGGTTCAAGTTTCTTTATTCTGCCTGAACTGGAAGTGAGTTAACAGTCCAAATGAAAGCTAAATGGTCAAAACAGAGAACTTACCAGAGCTTCTTTTTAAGAAAGAGACAGGCTATCTAAGAATTGTTTTCCCCTTCCAGTGTCATCACAACCCCCAACATCTCTTCCTGCCCCAGATCCTGTTTACTTGAGAACCCAATCCTGCGATCAGAAGCCCTTGGAATGATGATGCAGAATACCACCCTTGCTTTCCGGGAAGGATGGCTGGGGTGGGGCAAATTTGTATTTTAATTGCTGTGTAACTAAGGAAAGGGATGGAGTGTGTTTGGAAAGATGGAGTGGGACATCTGGCTCAAATGGATTGCTGATATTTTTCAAAAAGAAAAAGAGGCAGGCAAGAACTAGGAATTTGGCAAAATCCTTTTTGAGGAATTTCTGTCTGGGTAAAAAAATGCCTCAATTAATACTGATTCTCATAATCACTCATATTAATATCAATTTATTACTTAACAGTACTTAATACTGTTACACATCTCTGTCACCCAATCCTTTTACTTTCAAATCCTTCTGCATCCTGGATTTATTTAGCTTGATTCATTTGTTCATTTGAACCAACAAAACAGGCCACTTGGTTGATCTCCTATCCTTGGTCCCAAAATTGCTTAGCATGTGCACTAAGCATGGTTACATCTGGCTAGTATTTGGATGGGAGACCAAGAGGAAATGCCAAAGCTGTAAGTTGGAAAAAGCACCCTGAAGGAAGGAAATGGCAAGCTAACTTCGGATTGCATCAAGCAAACAATGAGCACCTGAAATCACCTGCCTGTTGGTCAGCCTGGACTCCAGGAAAGTTTATTATCACAGGACTATTTGCAGGGAAGGGTCAAAAATGTCAAGATGATGCCCACAACGATGCTATCGAAAGTCCATGTGATTTTGACGTGCATCGCACCATCGTGGGCATCATCCTGACTTTTTTTTTTTTTAAACCCTACCTGAGGATACCTCTGCAGAGGGAAGTTTAGGGACCGGCTGAGCTGCTCGCTGGGAGAAGCGTTTCTTATCGGACGTGAGGAAGCCACTTGGTGAAGGTGAGGCCACGTTCCCGCAACAAGGTGTCCATCTCCTGAGTTTGTCAGGGCTCATAAAATGGGCATCGATTATTCCAAGAGCCATTCATTATCGCCCAGAATGCTTACTGCAGCAATGGGAAAGGTTAAAAAGGAAAGTGACCTGCTGCCTGCCTGACACAAAGTCATTAGGTAAACGAGGTATTCATACAGGTTAGAACGAAGGTCAGGCGGGTTTTACGGGAAGGCGGAGGATGAAGCTCTGCCTTGAGCTTGGGGAGAAGGGAGAGACAAGAGCAACAAAGGCAAACACAGCTGACCCTCCCAAATTAACCTCTCCCTCCGGTCCTCGGGAAGAAAGCAGCCTTATTCTGGCATCTGTCCGCACCGTTGTTGGATGTTCGGAAAAGAGGTCCGGTTCTCCTGGCGGGCTCCTGGGCGGGTAGGGACGCGAGATTCGGCGTCCCCAAGTCCTCTTTCCTCGTTTTATCAAATAAAGAGACGAAACTTGAAGAATCGCCCCCATCACCGCCGATAATAATCCGTAAGATCAAGAGGAAAAGATGGGGAGAGCGATACTTATTTATGTACATATTTTCCCCACTCTAATTACAGAAATTAATCCTCTTATGGCTAAAAGATAAAGTCCCAAGCATGTCTTTGATGTTTAATGGTATCATTTGTGGCCAACCTGCCAGCCGATTAAGGGATAATTGTTAAATGCTTCGTGTTTTTAAGGGAAGGGGATGAGGGAGAGTTAGAACCGGGTTTCCTCCCTGCTCCAAAACCAGGACTGAAGCTGGGATAAAATTTGGAGCGGCTTTTTTTTTTTCATGGCCCTCCGTTTGATTCATTCCGCCTGTCGCCTCTGTCCCTGCTTAGTTTATTTTCACAGGAGAGCTGTTCTCCACCCTCCCGGTTCCCCCATTCAGCATGCCATAAAGTTTTAAAAGGAAAAAAAGAGGGAGCTTGTGACTATCACCGTCCCACTTCCCAGGGATGGATAATTTTTTTCTCCCTCTCGCCAACAAAACAAAACAAAACAAAGGTGTGGTGTGGTGGGAAGAACACCCATAAAGTAAGATCCAGCCGACATTAGCGGCTCTTTTTCCGCGGCTTCATTTGACCCAGTTCTCAATTTGATATTTCTGGGGAGTTTTTGGATGCCACTGAGTAGAGAGGAAACCATCTGTGGGAAAGAGAGGAGGCAGACCAAAATCAACCAATTGTCTCCTGAAACCCGAATCTTTCTTCCTCCCTATTCTCAAACACCTGCTTAATTTCCTTGGAAGGAAGGAAGGAAGGAAGGAAGGAAGGAAGGAAGGAAGGAAGGAAGGAAGGAAGGAAGGCAGGCAGGCAGGCAGGCAGGCAGGCAGGCAGGCAGGCAGGAAGGAAGGAAGGATTGTTGGGGGAAGAGAGTCAGTGGAATAAATTAAAATCCACTCAGCTTCTTTTTGCGAATTCCTGAAAGGGAAGAAGAAAGAACAAAAACATCGCATTACACACATATCATCAGAAAATACTTAAGACCGACGGTCTTGGTGGGGCCAAGTATAGCTTCGGACTTTCAGGCATTTTGGTCTGGGAGGTGTTGTGGGGCTAAGTCTGCGAAGAAACGCCATCCAAAGTCCCCAAGAACTCCGTGAAAAATGCCCCCCTCCGCCTCCGCCTCCGCCTCTCCTCTCCCCTCTCTCTTTAGGCGAAAGACCCGCCACTTTTCCCCGTAGATCGGCATGGAAAGCGCTCAGCCTCAAAGTCAGCCCGGGGCAGCTTGGAGGCCTGGGGCACGCGCATCCTCCGGAAAGCCTGCGGGCGTTTTAAAGGCGGCTTGCGCGGAGCCAAGGGAGCTTTTCCGAGTCTCCGTAGGTATCCGCGACTCGGCGGCACGGTGGGGCCGCTGCGCCTTGGGCTCTTTGGTTCTGCACAGCGGAGCCGTCGAGCTCAGAGACATCCGAAGGCGCTGCTTGCCGGCTCGGCCGTTTTGGAACGCGGTTCGGATCTCCCTGCGCGATTCAGGTGGATTCGGGTGGCCGAATCCGGCACGGCGCGCCTGGTCTGCCGTAGTCCCTTTTGTGCCGCAGGCGGCTGTTTAAGGCTCCTGTAACGGGACTAGGTTGGCTTAGAAGCCCAAAGCGGTTGGGCTCGAAAGCGACGTCCAACAGTCTGGATTTCCACCGGCGAGGCGAAAGCTTCCTTCGGGCAAGGCGGGAAAGAAAGAGGAATTTAGGAAAACGGTTGGCTTGACTGTCTACTTGTGCTGGGATAAAAAGCCCGGCATCCTTCGTGAACTTTGCCAGGGTTTCTCAGCTTTTCTCCTGGATAGAAGGCAAAGTTGTGGCAGGCAGTTCGAAGAAAAGTAGGCGATTTAATATAAATAAGGAACTCCGAAATGTATTACAACCCCGCTGTAATAAACGTGACAGTTTTGACACGTTATGTTATTGACAACATAAATATATGTTGGAACATTGCACTTTTCAGACACTTAAACCGATGGAAGCAATAATTTTTTTTTAAAAAAAGATTCGACTACAATATTTCAAATAATCGGCATTGATGTTTTGATCCATCATTTTTATACCTTCCAATCGATTCCTCCCTCTCTTCCCCTCCCCCCAGGTGACCGGTCAGTTTTAAGTAAAAACCTATCGTAATTATTTACGCTATTGCCAATGACGACCTAATAACTGTTTTCAATTAATTACGGCAGAGCTTAGCCTCGGCAGGGCCGTCACCAAAAGGCCCTTTTGCAAGTAGCACAAAATCACCAGGATTACTTTCTCCGTGCAGGGCACCGAGGGGGAGATTCATTAAAAAGAAAATGAAAAGTGCAGTCAGGCGACCCGAGTGCTGGAGAGAGAGAAAGAGCTGGACAGGGCCGGCCACAAAGTGTATATTTCTCTCTTTCTTTCTTTCTTTCTCTCTCTTTCTTTCTCTTCAGAAACTGCCCGGGTCTTTTCGGAGCCAACTTGCCTTTCCCGAACTGAAACTGACTGGTCCAGTACAGGCATTTCATCTCCCACAAATGGGGCTTCCTTTCGGCGGATGGGCCTTGGGCAGGGGTGCCAAAGGCGGTGTAGGCGCCTGTAGGCGGTGGAATCCGGTTCTTTCCGGCACGATCCACAACTCCTTTTACGCGCAAGCCTAGGCGGCTCTTCTCCTAAAGGAAGCCCATTGAACTGGAACAGACTTTCCTGGCAAATAAATACGCAAAGCTAGCTGAGATCCATTAGACCCAAGGGAGAAGGCAACCTAATATTCCAGTCCTTTTTGGGCAGACTGGGAGCGCTAGGATGTCCTTGTGTTCAAAGAAATCTAAGTTTCCCCTGATTTAAAGGAATCAAGCAGCCCTTTTGCCAGGAATCGAGCAGCCCTTCTGCCGAGCTAGCCTCGTCCTGGGCCCCTTTTTGCATTTGAGGGATAGCTTCCCCCCCCCCTTTCCTCTCCAAGGATCGGACTTCGGAAAACGAAATTGCGCTGGGATCCTTTCCTTCCTCCAAATCTAGAATACAAAGGACCGGCTGCCCCCTTGCCCTCAACCCGAGGAGAAGGTTGCATTTAAGCAAAGCGGGGGAGAAAAGGGCGAGGATTAGGGGTTCACCTTATGCCACAAGGTCCGGGCGCTGTCTAGAAGTTAAAGGAGTAACAGGGACAGGATTTCATGAGTGCATTTTTGGCGTTGGGGGAAAAAAAAAATCCTACGATGGATTTTGGAACATTGGAAATTAAGCCACATAAGAGGAGGAGGATGGTAGTGGCGACCGTGGTGATGAGGATGATATAACGGCCACTATTTAAGGGGAGAGGAGAGAGGAGAGGGGAGAGGGGAGGGAAAAGAAAGCCGCAAAAGCCTGTTTCTAATCTTCTGACATTCTGCGGTTAGTGAACTCTTGGTTTGGAACCAAGCGGAGCATCAGCACCTTCGAAAACGACTTCCAGTTGTGTAGCCGTTTACCAGTACAAAGCAGAAGGGGGGAAAAGCGGCCGTCTTGAGGGGCTGAGGAGAAGCTGAAAGTTTGCTGAAATGATTGGAGTCCCGCCAGATAGCGCTAGAGGGCTGTTTATTGAAACGCTCCTCCAGTTCAGTGAGATCTTTACAGAATAAACAGGAGAGATAAAGAAGTAAAAGGAAGGAGGAGGAGGGCAGCCCACTCCACAAGTGCCATGTTAATTCCTAGAAGTGTTTGGGAAGTATAATAGAGGGTTGTAAGTGAATAAAGAAACTGGAGTTCGTGTTGATTTTGAAACAGAAAAGGAAGTGGAGGAAGAAAAAGGAAAGGGAAAGAAAGGGTCCAAGAAGTAATTTAACGAGGGCTCTCCTAAACCAGCTTTCAAAGAGCTCCAGAGCCCTGGAAGAGAGGTCAGTAAGAGTTCACCTGATGAGTAAGGCTTGACTTTTGTTGGAAGGAAAGGATTTGGGGGAGAAATAAGTTACAAGGTGAGGAAATGAAAGAAAAGGGAGGAAAAAGGAAGAAAAAGAAGTATTTCCTATCTGTAGCATTTCAAAAGGTAGAGAACTGAGTCACTATAAAGATAATATATTAATATCTTCATACATTAAGTTAAATATTTTATTCTATGCTTATTTGCCAGAGCAGAATGATCTTTGATTGTCTGCAGTGCTGAGGGGGTAGGGCAAGGATGGGGTGGAGGGCAGAAACTAATTACAGAATTTAATTTCTTCCTTTGCAGAAATCTGAGGTAAATCATCAAGCCCAGTCTAGTCCAGAAACAAAAATATGTGAATTTCAGCTGAAGGCAAATAATTTGAATATAAGTGGACTAAGTTTTGTCAATGGCATCCCTAGTTATCAACTTAGGTTCTTGGATCAGTGTTTAGAGGTAGAATTTGGAGAAAAAGAAAATATTGAAATTTCCTTCCAAATTCAGAAAAACTAGGAGGTGCCTAAACCTTTAAACAATCCCTGCCTTTGATCTGATTTGTTTCTTGTGGCTCTATCTTTAGTCACAGTTCAAAGTAAATTATTGAGAAATTAGCCATAATTCTTATGAAAAACGAGAGCATTTCTTCAAATGTAATTTGCTTAATCCAAAAGCAAAAGGGGGGAAATCCCTTCATTCTGGCAAACAAACACTGAATGAAGTTACAAACAAGATTACGGGTGAAGTTATTTGTCCTTCTAGAGAGGTGTTGATCTGCTAAGAGATGTAAAAACAGCTAAGAGGATTTAAGCCACACGAATTTAATGAACCTGATTAGTTGCATATACTTTTACAGTTAGAAATTCTAAATTGGTGGTTCCATAAAGTATCTATTAGACAGTACCAATAGCAGTAAAAAAAAACCAGTATTTCTGGATTTTTATTAATATCTCATCTCAGCCTACTTTCTCCAAATCCCTTTCTATTTACAGGGCACGTCAAGAGAGCAAATTTGAAATAAAAACGCATATATACTTTCAGAATCAGCCGTGTTACCTGTTGGATGAGTCACATTTGCAAAAGAGCATATTTTTAAAATAATAAAAAGACATCCAAATGGTCCAGACGTTATCACCCTTTGAAATGTCTGGTTGTTCAAAATACATTTTGATTTCCCTCTAAGAAAGAAGAAGCTGGTTGGGAAGTTTGAAGAGATGCCGGGTCTCACTATTTATATTTGCTCTAGCAGACTTGCAAAAAGCAAATTGGAGAGGATCTTTAGCCCACTGATTGTCTCTGTATTGTTTTTCTTGAAACGGATCTTTTGCCCTTAATGAATCCTAACACAGCTGGACAGCTCCTTCCCGGACACTGAGAACCCTCACCCCAAACTGACCCCAATTTGACACCACAAGATGAAATTTTACTGCCTGTTAAAACCATTTCCAGCCGAAAGAAAGAAAGAAAGAAAGAAAGAAAGAAAGAAAGAAAGAAAGAAGTCGTGCAAACTGGATTGGAGGAAGAACTGTTTGACAGAGATACATTTCTACACAGGGTTCCTAATTTGATGATGGTGATGATGACTGACATTACTTGGGATTTTAAAACTATTTTTGCATTTCACAACAAGATCAGTTATCTTAAAATTCATTATAGCTGTAAGTCCAGGAGAAAGTCCCACTGAAAACTGAGGGCCTGATTTCTGAAGAAACTTGCTTGGAAATGCAACAAGAATTCACAGCTTCAAGACCAATATTATATCTATCCTGCCACAACCTCCTGCAAATGTAACTATTTTCTCCCTTTTTTAAAAGTTTGATTCAGAATTCCAAAACTAATTACTTATGTATTATATATATTTATTAATGGCTGGTTCTAAATTAAGACAATTAATGCTCTCAAATACCTACCTGAAGGTTTTTAACAAACATGTGACAGAAATATTTTTTTTAGATTTTTCACAAAAAAAAGTATGAAAGAAATCCTTTTGTTGTTGCTTTAGATTTGTCACAAGAAAGAATGAAATACTTAGTCATCTTTTTGTTTGTTGCCTCTTTGTTTTAACATTTTTTTCAGGGTAACTTCAAATCTCCCAGGAAACTAACTAAATATATATATATATCCTTGCATTTTAAAAGAACTGAAATATAACAGGAATGTTTCATTTAAGGAGGGGAGAAACAGAAATGAAAGCAGCATTACTGAAGCCTGCAAATATCTCTTCTCGTTAACTTTTTAGATTTTTTTAAAGGCTTCTGGTATACAAGTTTAAGTGGTATATTGAGCTCCTTTTGCAATAATATTCATTTACTCTACTCAATACATGCAGCCCTAGTCCAGGAAATATGTTCAAAGAGATGCATTTAAAAGGGGAAAAAACTGGCGGCAAAGCCGATCCCACTTCTTGCTAAATCAATCCAAACTGAGACATATATAGCCCCGATCGGGTATGTTTCTCCCCGTTTTTAATAGAAAACAGTTTTTTTATAAAGTGTTGTATAATGAGGACTTGGGTTGACAATATTACAACAATGCGATTCCCAAAGAATTTAGGAAAGTGACATTTTCGGAAGAAAGGTGGGGGGGGAGAGAGACCTCAGAAAGTCCATTCCTGACAAAGTAGATCTCTTTTAAAGCAACCTCTTAGAAAGGTTCAGCTGCAAAAGTAGGAAAGGATTTGCATAACCCACTGCTCTATAGGTCTCCGGGCACCCAAAGGATTAGCCAAGTATTCATTACCAAGAATGTCTTGAAGCGCGTTACCGATTTCTACGACAGAGAAGAAAATACGGTAGGACTACCCACCCCTTTCGCCCCCGAATAAGCCCTTTTTGCAAAGGAACCGATTTAAACGCAGCTTGAAAGAAAGCGACGTACTGAGGGCTGTTTTTACTCACCTTTCTGCGCAGAGCCGGGCGAACCAGCTCTAGAAGGGTAGCGGCTGCTCCGAAGAATCGCTTTAATCTTGGAAAAGGACTTCTAGAAGAAAAGAAAAGTGGGGAGGGGAGAAGGGGGTAGAACAAGTAAAAGCAGACACCCCCCCTCTTCTCCCCCACCCCACCCCAAAGGTGGCTCTTCGGAGCTTCAAACGAGCGCGCAAGTCAGGCTTAAAAAAGTCTCGCCAGTTCTTTTCCCAGCTCTTTCGCCTGCCGGTTCGGGGGCTGAGCTCAAACTGCGAAGCTTGCCAGGCTAAGCGCTCCCGGGAAGCGAAGCCGTTACCCGGTGGCGTTCCTCGAGCCTCTCTCTTTCTCTCTCTCTCTGCTCTATCTTTCTTTATAAGCGAGGGCTGATATCCCGCAGACAGCATTGTTATGATGGCTCATTTAATCAAACTGTTTAATTGCTCCGGTAATCACTATCATCATCGCAGGTACTCAATCATTCATCATTTTGGAGAGCTCCGATGACCTCGGGAGCTAGTTCCCTAGCCCAGAAAAGATTGGCTGCATTTTTTTAGACTCGTTCCTCCCTCCCGTGCCTTTGGCAAATTTCGCTTTTCCTTCCCCAACTTTTTTCCTCCCTTTCTTTCTCCCGGTGACCTGCTCCTGAGAAAAGTCTCTTGTCCCGTCCTGTCCCTCTCCCCACTCTCTTTTTCTCGCCGGAATCCAGTCTAAAATGCGTGGCCGCCGCCGCCGCCGCAAGTATGTAAGAGGCCGTAACATTCACAAGTAGATTCATAATCATTGATAAATCCCACTATTACCAGGATAGTCTGGTTTAGATTTTATGTGTGGGGAGAGAGAGAGAGAGAGAGTGTGTGTGAGAGAGAGATAGAGCAGGAGGGAGGGAGAGAGAGTACAAAACTGCAGCAATCAATAGTTTGACCATTGCTCCTCCCCCTTAACTTGAAGCATTCCCTCATGATTGATGATCTCGGGTAGCTTTGGTAATTGACTGCTCTGAGGTAAGGCATGTTTCGGTTCCAGCAAAGCGATTGGAGGAGGCTGCACACGCGCGCGCGCGCATACACACACACACTTCTCACCAAAATTAACGTGGAGGTAGCGCTTGTGAGTGCCTGTGGGAAAGGGGGGAAAAAAGCGAGAGAGACGGGCCGCGAAAGTCTGCTGGGTGTGTTTTCAAAAGTTGACTTGGTCGTAGGAACCAGAGGGCACCATCGCACTAGTTCTGCGGAATAACCGCTGCAGCTAGCGTAATAATACCTACAACAATAGCTGCGACTTTACGTTGTTTTGAACAGAGAATTATAATCACCGCCCCAGTTAAGGAATACAGATTCTACAAAAGAAGAAGCAAAGCGAGCTCAAGAGGGATTAGTCCCAATTATAAAAAGTGCATTAATATATATATATATATTAGAATTTGGAATAAAAGAAAGAAAAGGAGGGGACTGTTCCCTTCGCTTTGTAACGCCCAAGCAGCGCCAAAACCCAGCCTAAAAGGATGCCTTTCCTTGCCTTTCCTCCCCCCACTCTCTCAGTTCTCTGCGTAGACCCCCGACTCGTACAGCGGCTTTGAGGGAACCGAGCACAGAGTAAAGGGTGCCAAGTGGAGCGCTCCCCTCCAGGAAAATTATTCGGAGTAACAGCAACCGCGAAAGGTAGCGAGTTTCACACACCGAAGGAAACACGCGGCGCAGGCAGCTCTTTGAATGCAGTCTACTGACAAGGATGGCGGACTTTGTTAAGGCAGGCTAGGAGTTTCCGCTGGCAGAACAAGTTTGCCCGCGCCTCTTTCCAAACATTCGCCACTGCCCGAGTTCCTTCGGCTCTTCTCCTGGACACTGAACCCTCGCAGGACTGAGAGTTACCCTCCGAAGAAGAGAGCAACAAACACCAGGCGAAGCGATGGCTAAGCAGCACGGCCAGGCAAAGGAGGATATCGAAGGGTAAAATCTCTCCATTAAAAAAAAAAAGAAAAGCAACAGATCTAGGCTTCTAGGATACTTTTTTTTTTTAAACCCCCTTCGGGCTGTTTGCAGTTCCCACGCACGCACGCACGCAGCCCACTTTCTCCCCCCCTTCTCTCTCTCGCTCTCTCTCTTTGCTCCCTTTCCTGCTTCTCCTCCTCCTCCTCCGTTTTCTTCTTCCTCTTCCCGAGGCTCCCTCTGTATCCTTCCACTTTTCCGTGCCTATCTGGAAAAGCGAGCCGGCTTGGTTGAGATTTGTGAACGTGCTGCATCGCGCCCCCGCCTCCCCACCCCGGGTGGCGTGGAAACAGCCCTGATTGCATACTCTGCATATCGCAAACTGTAAGCGCGAGCTGGCTCGCCCGTCTTCGCCCGCTCTCTCTCTCTCTCTCTCTCTCTCTCTCTTCTCCCCTCTCCCTTGTATGTGTCTCTCTTGTAGGACTGGCTATGGCCACCACTACTTCCGGGTTCCGTCATTTCATTCTCCCGCCGATCAGCGCCGCAAAACTGAGCCTCTTCTATAAGCCAGCCAGCAGCCAACCTGCCAACACTCACTGACACTCACTCATCTCAGAGGGAGAGGTGAAGAGGGAGACAAAATACCTACCGGGAGGGGGAAAGGAAAAAAACAACAACAACAACAACAACGCGCGCGCACACACACACTCACCCAACCACGCACATACACACGCACACAAAAAGAACGGAGGAAGTCCACGTTTTGCAAACTATTCCATTTTTCTTCGCATCCTACCCCACCCTCCCCCTCCCGGTAGTTTTTTTTTTTTTTTTTTTTAAAGAACCTATAGCTTTCCTACAAGCAAAATCCCAAACGCGGACTTACTGAGAGAAGAATCCTGAGGTTAAAAGATTCCTCTTTTCTTCTTCTTCTTCTTCTTCTTCACCAGCCATCATTCATTCACTACCTTGACATTCCATGGCTTTGATTGACAGCTGGAGTGGCAAAAAGCCATGAGACACGACAGTTTGGTTACATGTGGGTTGCTGACGGGCCGATCGTAACCTTCAGTGTGGGGCTTGACGACTTTTATGTTTATTTTTTTAAAAAAAATAATACCATCATAATTTTTTTTACGTAAAAGAAGAAAAAAAAAGGAAAGACACAGAAAAGGGAAATAAAGAAGAGCACGCTGGGGAAACAGACAAACTCTACGTGGTTTATTTTTCCCTACTTTTTATTGTTATAACGATTGTCTTTATGAATATTTACGCGTATTGGAGAACTCTATAAGTGGGTCGGACAAACAAGGGAAAAGGGTTTTTTTTTTCTTCCTTTCCTTCTTCTTCAGTCACTTTGTTGGTGGTGTTACTGGACTGGGATATTAATTATAGGACACATCCCGGAGTTTATTGGAGCGCAGACTGATGGCGCAAAGGGTAGGTTTAAATCTCCAGCACTTACATTACGTATAAATCCTTTCTTAAGAGGGGCCTGTCGGATTTGCTCTTTCCCCGTTGCTGCTGCTCATGGCGGCCACTATTTAGAGAAACAAAACAAATAGCAGCAAAAATTATTCACCGGTTTTGTGTGTGCGTGTGCCTCTATGTCTCTTTCCTTCCCTCTCTCTCTCTCTCTGTGTGTGTCTGTCTCCCTCTGTGTGTGTGTGTGTGTGTGTGTGTGTGCGTGCGTGTGCAATTGTTCCACGCTTCTTTCCTCTGTAGCTTTTCCCCCAACAGCGCGATTTCCCTGCTCCTCTCTAACTGCTCAGTGGCGCGCGGTTTACAGGGGGGAAGGTTTGCCTTCTGCTGCTGCTGCCGCCGCCGCCGCCGCTTCTGCTGCTGTGGCTGTTGCTGCCGCTGCCTGGGAAATACAGCTACATTTGCTGCTTGGTTTATCTCTGATTTTGACAAGGACAAGGGGGAATTGCGACTAAATAATGTTTCTGGTAACTTTCAGATTATTTGCTCCCTTTCTCTCGCGCTCCTCTCTCCCTTCTCAGCCTTGTTTACCCTTCCTACTCCGTAGCATTAATCTGGTCAGCGGTGGGGTGTTCGTTTATCTGTGGCCCCGTCTCCTCTAATTCGTAGACGGTTTCCTCCTTCTTCCCTTTCACACTTCCCCTTCCCGTATTTTGCCCTCGATAGAGCTTTCCCCCACAACCGGCTCACATACACACACATTCCTTGCCCCCTTCTTCCCTTGCCTTCCCTCCCCCCCCCCAGCTCTGTCGACTGCACTTTTTATTTTGATTTCAGTTTGTATCGCTTTCCTCTCTGTTGTGGCTGGTCCTGGTTTGTAGTTTTGCTCTGTTTTGTCTGACTTTGCCTGGGTGCTTTACTCTCTTCTGACTTCTGTTGTTTTTGTTTTGTTTTTGTTTATTTCTTCCCCTTTTCACCCCCTTTCTTTTTCTTTCTCGCTTTCCCCTCTCTCTCTCTTCTGGTTCTATTTCCTTCCTTTTCTGGCCCATTTTCTTTTTGACAGTACGATGAGCTGCCTCATTACGGCGGGATGGACGGAGTAGGGGTACCTGCTTCCATGTATGGAGACCCTCACGCCCCCAGGCCGATCCCCCCAGTACACCATTTGAACCACGGGCCGCCACTGCATGCCAGCCAGCATTATGGAGCCCATGCCCCGCACCCCAATGTCATGCCGGCCAGCATGGGATCGGCTGTCAATGACGCCTTGAAGCGGGACAAGGATGCAATCTATGGGTAGGTACAAAGCAAGGCAAGCCAGGCGCTGTGGCCCGTTCCTTGCAGCATATGTGTATTTCGGTGTGTGTGTGTATGTGCAAAGGGCTGGAGAGACCGTCTCTTTCAGGAAAGAGGGCAGAGGAATAACCGTCCTGCACAAAGAGCGCGGTAGGCACAAGATTTTTGGAGAGAACTGTAAAGTGCTTTTAAACAATCTCTCCTTTCTAAAATCGTCCTCGGGTTTTCTTCCTGAAATCTAGAGGACACGTGTAAATTGTCACTACAGATCAATATAGATCACGATAGAGCCCTTTCTGCATTTCTGTAGGTAATAAAAACATTTTAGGTCGATAAAGTTAAAAACGACACAAATATATGGGAAAGTTCAGCTAAGAAATCCCACGGAGGATGCAGGGATTGACGGGCGTGTTATTTTGACGCGCTGGAAGTGCGTTCAAATTTTAGTGAAAGCAGTATGGCTAAGCTGCTTCGTTCTTCGGGCACCCCAATCCTTAAGACAGTTCCTTAAGAGCTTTTTAAAATATTTATTGTCTTCCCTGCTCTTAGAAATGAAAAGAAAGCCTGGCTTCCCCAGGCTCATTTACACACATGCAAATTCTACTGAAATCAGCGGAGGTTGTGCTGTTTATTTATTTAGATGTTGCTCTGTAAATTGCAGAATTAATCAAAGTAAAATGTGGGTTAGTCCTTGAAAACAAAGCCGGGGTGGCAGTATGGGAAGATTGGGGAAAATGTATTCTCCTCAGCAAAGTTTTATTTAGGTGACATTTTTCTTTCCTTCTTTAAAGCATGCAATAACAGCCCTTGTGACACAACTAACACTAGGAGGAAAGATTTAGGAAAAGGATTTACTGGTTTAACGCACGTATCGCCCAGTTAGATCCTGATCCTCAGGCAGTAGCTGGCCGGACAATGGAGAGGAATTTATTCAGTTTTCTTCTCTTTTATGACGGGGCAGTCGATATTTAATCTGGACGCGTTTCTTCAGAATCTACCGCCCCCGGGATCCCCTTCTTTCTCTTCTCCTTTCCTTCCCAGATAGCGTGGTTCTGGTTACTTCTCACCAAAATAAGAAACAGCTTCAGACTTTGGATAAAAATCAAGTCTTCCCGCGTTTGGTACTGTCGTGTCTTCGGGACGAGCGGAGGCTCTGCTCGTTTCCTTGCTAGGTTTAAAAGCTGCGGGACTTTCACAGCGCAATCTGGGGCTGGGTAATTGTGTTTGTTGGCGCACATGGGTTTGTGGAGTTCGGTTCTGGCCCAGGATTTTTGTGGGGAGACGTTTGCATGTGTTGTGTTACTTTTGGCTCCGGGTTGTCCCTTCCTTTAGTTGTGGGAAGGCTGAGGGGACGTTAAGCTTGCGCGTGGAGATACATTATGTTTCTTTTATTTTTGAAGAAACTTGTTGATTAGGTTTCCCCCTTTTTTTCCCCTCTCGTTTTTTTTCCCTCTCTCTCTCTCTTAATGTCGTTCTCCCCTCCTTTTCTCTTTGTATGTCGTCGCCCGGCAGGCACCCGTTGTTCCCTCTGTTAGCTCTGGTCTTTGAAAAGTGCGAGCTCGCCACCTGCACTCCCCGAGAGCCCGGAGTGGCCGGCGGAGACGTCTGCTCCTCCGACTCCTTCAACGAGGACATCGCCGTCTTCGCCAAACAGGTCGAAACTCTTTCCCTCCCCGCTTTTCCCCGCCCCTTCCCCGCACACCCAGCCCCCACCTTGAGCGCGCGACACCTCAAGATGAAGACCCCCCCCCCACCTCCCCTCAGAAGGCACCCCCTTCGGAAGGCCCGCGCGACAAGGCCCGCTGATCCTCAGGCCTTGGGGAAAGGGGAGGGCGGCGCTTGCTCTGAGGGAGCTTTGGAGAGTCTGAGGGGAAAATGTTCCGGGCAATCTGGGTCTGGGTGCCTTTCCCTTCTGCTCAGCCACCTCTCTATCATCCCCATTTCCCTCTTCCCTTCTGGCTGCAAGAAATGTCTGCTGGGAGACCTTCTAGGATTCCCTTAAGTCACAGGAAGGGGGCATTGTTAAAAGGGGATGGGTGGGGGGGGGAGATAAATTCGAGGGCTGTTAGGCCCAATTTCTCAGCCCTCCCTTGAAAATGTGAACTGGGTGAGAAGGAAGCTTGTGTGGGATAGGAAGAATGGTGGTGGCCCTGAGTGGCCTAAGTTTCCAAATGTCTCTTTGGCATTGAAAAGAACTTGCAACTAATTCATGTTTTGATCTGTTACAATAGACTGTGAGGTAGGGTGGGGGACACAGGCCCAACAAATAGAGAGTTTTTAAGGTAGCTGAAATACACACTGATTCCTACTCACTCTTCCCCCCTCCCCCCTCCCATATAGGTTCGGGCAGAAAAACCACTTTTTTCTTCAAATCCAGAATTGGATAATTTGGTAAGGTTCTTCCTGTCTGTTTTTATTTTGACCTCTTATGCTCTGGGAGACCCCAAGTGCTTAGCCTTGGTTAAAATAAAATAATTAATACGAAGGGGGACTTGGAGAAATGTTTGTAGGGGTGCCAAGATTCTGAAAGAAAAAGAAATTATTCTTACCCAGGGGCTTCAAGGAACTCGAATTCTTGACATAGAAAGGGGACGACAACAGATACTTGAGCTCCTAATGTGTTGCAAAGCTGGGTTTAAGCCCTGAGAAGCAAAAGAGAAGGAAATCATGGCTTCAGAAAAGAGTTTGAAGCTGCTGAGTACGATTCTTTTGATAATTTGTCCAATTTTAATATTTAAAGTACTGGAAATCTACTTGGAAAAAAAAAGAGGTGAAGGCAGATCATTCATTTGAAGCCATTTCACCTTGCCTTCTTTGTTTTTTCTTTTTTAAAAAAACGGATGGAGTGGTGAGTGGATGTTTAGCACTTGGTTGCTTTGCAGACTTTAAAAAACCACAGGAGATGACATCTTGGCAAACCACTTATTGCTGTTTTTCTTTAAGTGTGTGTGTGTGTGTGTGTGTTTATGTGTGATTTGATGTTTTTTTTTTTAAAAAAAAATCAAGTGCTTTAGGTTAAAGTTGATGATCAAAATTGGCCAAGCGTGTCCAAAGAGCTAAAATCCTGGATAATGAGAGCGTGCCCTGACAATCCCCCACTCCTTGACTTGCCTCCTTCTCTCCCTTATATGACAATTCCTCTGTTCCCTGTTTTCTTTCAGATGATACAAGCGATACAAGTCTTAAGGTTTCACCTTTTGGAATTAGAAAAGGTAAGAGCAAGGGGGCACTCCCTCTCTTTCTTTTCCTTTTTCTCCTCCTGGCCTCCTACAACCCTTGGGGAAATTCAAAAGAACACTGTAACTGGTACAAAGCACATCCTGACACTAAACCAAAAGTGCATGGCTCTTTTTCTTTTTTTCCTAACCCCTTCTTCCCTCCCCCCATCCATTCTTTCCTACCTTCATTCAAGTATCTGTTATGTCCTTTTCTTCTCTGTCTTGTTTCTTCCTTGCAAATAATTTGAATCAGAGATAATATTTTAAGCAACTTACCATTCAGTATGATTATAGACCCCCTGTTCTCAACATTTTATGAATCACATGAAAAGACTAAATACTACAAGAAAATTATTTTATACTAAAAATCTCTCCTTACTCATCCAGAGATTTCAAAATACATACACTGCTCTCTTCCTACCTCCTTTCACTTTTCTTGGCTGAACTGCCTATGTTTTTATGTTTTATTTATCCAGGTCTCAGTGTTTCTGATAATATCCTCAAATCGGATTTTCTTCTATCTATAGAATAGGCTAACGTTTAATAGCTGTGCATCCCCCAACTTGTTGCTCAAGCAAGTCTCTGGGGAATAATATGTGCTGCAACAATTTCTCTATTGTTTCCTTGCTTCAACTATATGCCTCTTAATTAGAGTTACTCTTGGAATAGTAGATCACAGTGCTTTTTTTTTAATGGGGGGGGGGGAGATCAAGTTGCAGTGTAGAAGTTTTGCTTTCTCCCTCTTTTAAAAATGCATCTGTTTTTTTCTCTTCCTTTATTTAAATGTTACATTCAGGTTCATGAATTGTGTGATAATTTCTGTCATCGGTACATTAGTTGTCTGAAAGGCAAAATGCCCATAGACCTAGTTATTGATGAAAGAGATGGCAGCTCCAAATCTGACCATGAAGAACTCTCAGGATCATCCACAAATTTAGCTGACCATGTAAGTCTTTTCAATAATTTGTAATGGCTCTTACCCATTTAGTAATTAATAGTAACAGTCCTGGACTGTTATTAATTAAGGATTTTCTCATCATCACCTGTGTATTGAAATTGTTTACTTTAAATTCACCTCTGTTACCTGTTACAGAGCTATTGTTTAAATCTGAGTTTCTGATGGAAAAATCTTCCTTTATATTTTATTACTGAGAGTTTAAATTCTATCATGTCAAGTTTACAACATTGACAAATTGAAGAGTTGACAAACTGTCTAGTAAAAATAGGCAATATTTTCTGCTTTATGACCCTTGTTATTAATGTTATAGCCCCCCCAAAAAAGACAATTGAAATTATTAAGTTATTTAATCTGCCTTTATCCAGGCAGAATTATTAGCTATTGTGTACTAATTTGAACCAAAGTTATAAATAATAACACTACTTTCTCTATTGCAACTTATCACTGAAATTTGCACGTGTTGCCAAGTGGCTGAAGCTTCATAATAAATTTCAATAATCTTGAGATGCCAATTATTTACAAAACCTTTTAAAAGCTGCAAATAATTATGACTGAGTAACTACACATTAGCTGTTGGTTTTAACACTTTAGTAGTAGCTCAGTGAGTTGTTTTTGTTGAATATGCACAAATATGTCTGGGAATGGCATTTTACATGAGCTGTTATGCTTTATAGAAATGCTTATGAAAACCTGTTACGTACGTTAATAAGTTTATTTACTTTAGAAATGTATAAATAGACACAGTGTTCAAGTGTGAATAATAACTTATTTCTAAGAGTGTAGAGAGGAGAGTTTACATAGGCATTGTAAATAACTTCATAAAACAAGCAGTATAAACTAAGAATAGCATAGAAGGAACATTATTCTAACTTGATGGAGGGATTCCTGTGCTATGTACAAGAATCTATAATAAATTTTAGTCTGCTATGAAAAGTAGATACAAAATAAAGAATATTTTCTATTTGTTTTCTTTTTCTTTCAAAATACGTTGGCAGAAAGTTAAATATTTGCTTTTGTTTTATATTTGTTGACAATACTTAATAACAACAGAAATAATACTAATTGTTATGGACCATTTCTATATTTAAATAAATATAATATTTTTGTTTCTTTGGAAATCTCCTAATCGAGATTTCATGACATTTTATAATTATTGCTGTCAAAGCATATAAGCAAGGAAACACTGAATGTTTCCTCAAAGTTCTGTTATATCATTTATAGCTACTAAGGTCTATGAAGCAATATCATAGTTTCAAAAATATTTATTGTTTAAAACTAAAATCGGGGCATACATAACTATGGGATCATTAGACCTGAAATGGCAGGCATCCTGAAAGAGCCAAATATGTATATATAAAATATTGCATGTCTTCCCAGAACATTTTTAGTGTAAGTTTGTTTTAAGTGGACGTGTAGAAATGGACCTTGCTGTTGTTTATATTAAAGGAGATTACATAAACTATACTGTTTAAGGCTTGAGCAGATGGTGAGTGCTCAAGCCAATTTGAAGTGCTCTGTTATAATATTCAGATTCAACTACAGTGATAAAATGAGGTTTCAGGGGACTCACATTTTATAATATAACCATCTTCATAGAAAATAATCTTTTTGAACTCTTCCAATAGTAAAAGAGCAAATTTAGGCAAATGTGTTAACCTATCCTAAACCTGTCAGGCTTTACCACTCTCATAGTTATAATTATTTAAAGGCTATGTAAATAATAGGGCATTGGGCTCTAGACATTTGGATTCTACTATTCTTACTTTAGCACCCTGATACTTTTTTTTTTTGAAGGAACTAATAATTTGTGCAACCAGAACACCAACTGGGAAATTAATAGTTATATCACTGAGGTGCATTTGGGAATTGTGCCTTATTAGATATGTATGTTAACATCACCCTAAGGATACATTTGATAAAGGTACAGATAAGAATAATGTACACATACATACATGCATACATATTAATATAAAGTGTAATACTTTATTAATACTCAATAATAATGAATTTTGAAATTTTAATGAACATATAAAAATATAGAATAAACTTATTTATTTGTGGATTTTTACCTGACACTTATAATGGATAAACATGAGCATTTCTTTAATTTGCTATTCAAGATTTATTTTTTGCTTGCTTTGATATGCATATTTAAATACAGCCTACGGCTAAATCTCATTTGGTGAAGGGTGGTGCAGGTGTTATGATAAACCACTTAAGGACACAAGATGGCATGGTGTTTTCTCTGTATTAACTCCTGACCATTGTTTTGGTCTTTCTTATAGCTGTATTTACTTTTGAAATACTTAGAGTTCACCTGAATGGCTATGAATTTATAGCTTTAAAGATATTTTAATTTGTTCTGGGCCTGAGCCCCTTTTGTGCAAATAACAGTTTGTGAAAAATAATTGATATTCCAATATTTCTATTTCTCTGTTCTGTTCATGGTTATAGATAAACTGCAATATAGTAACTGTAGTAGCAGTTTACTGGGTCCTAATGTGGTTGAAAGTTATATACTATGGTATAGCTCAAACTAAGGAAATGTCAGAGAAGCTAATATTAACAATGAGATTCCTGTGTTCAAATATGTGTCTCTTTGTAGAATTCCATTGCTGAAAAATATAATTTAGTTTGTGATACAAAAAGGCTTCATTTTGGCAAAAATACTAGCTTTTATGCAAAAAGCAGAATCTTTCTAATGTTGGTAACAATACAATGCACACATACTTAATGTTATTTATTGTACTGTTAATTACTGTTAATTCTGCTATAATACAGTAAGAATCAGTTGTCCAGGAACTTTGCTAGTCAAAGACTAGGATACTGTTAGTTATGGAAAATTGCTATATTTGATGTATGTTGTGGCATAGTTAGTAAATATAAACTCCATAATTACGGTTTGAATTTTTAATACTCTCATACCGGTATATTTTTATTGCACTCAAGTGTTAGTTGTAGTTGTGTAGAAATGTGCTATAACTGAAATAAACCAGATAAAATACTACTGTAGACATTGTTGACTTGTGTTTCTTAGGAATGCAATTTATCACTGTCACATGTATGCATATATATGAACTCAAAATTCCTCAACCTTGACTTCAGTTAACCATTATTCATATAGTTTTAAATGTATTTTTTAGATTCTTTACAAGTAGTTAACAATTTTACACACACACATACACACATGGAAATCCTATTTCAAGGGATTTTTCCTATAACACTGATAGCATTACAACTTGTTCTATTACATTTGTTAATGATCTGAGAAAAGGATAATAGAAAATGGCCTATACCTAATTTATGGCTGAGGTCTTTCAAAAGTAAAGACTGATAGCAGGAGATTTTTATTCTTGTTCTGCCTTGACTATGCCAGTATATATTACAGTTATGTAAATGAATATTTGGAATAGATTCATTTACACTATTTTTCTTTATAATAATCCACAGAACAGCTTCTAAATCTTTAAAATACTTTACACTAGACCTGTAAAGCAGGGTTTTCTAGATTTATATTGGATGATTAAAGCAAGAGATAGTGACTTTCTAGGAATGTATTTTGAAGATCAGTTTACAAAGTATTTGTTAGTTTGTATCAAAGATGCTCAAGTCTACTGTAGAATTTACAAAAATGAGAATTTAAGAATGTTTTTGAAAACAGAGTCAGCACTGATTGCTCCTCTTATTTAAGTATATACACATTCAGGAATTCTTGTAGATTTTCACACTTTTATCACAGAACTTAGTCAACCTTGGCTGATCTCAAAAAACTAGATAGGGTCAAATTTGTTTAGTACATGGATAAGAGACCACCCAGAAACCCAAGGACTATAACGTAGACCAAGCAGAGGGAAAATTCAGGAAGGCAATGACAAACTCTCATATTTTTTGGCAAGACAATTCCATATTTTCTGTGTCCATGAAGTTACCAAGAGTAGGGCTTGATTTGAAGGAGATTTTATATTTATATTTCATACATAAAACTATTTTCACATTTGAACTGGAGCTAAATATGTCCTGTGCACAAATGTCTGTAAACATTTAAGGCAAATGTGAACAACAATTGATGCCACATCAGATCAAGAAATATGTCATGTACAATATTTTAGGCATGGCTGCATTTTTCTAGTATCCAATAAACAATATTATGCTAAAATAAATAACTTATGTAGGTCATATACGTTTGTTGTAGTTGCTCAGGTTTGATTTCTAGATTTTTTAAAAAGACATAAACAGCAATTCCTTCAAAAGGCTTTATCTCCAATGAACCACAAATTTGTGGAATGTTAGACTTGCCAGGAATGTAAGATCAGGTCTTAATGTCCTTATAGTTTATTATATTTAGGACTGAGAACAAATTAAACAAACATAACTGTGTACTTATATGGACTCTGCTTCATACAGATTCCGTGAAGCAGTTCACAGTTGCAGTTCTATTTACTGTATCATTACAGTACAATCATTACAAACCTTTGGGGAGAAGGAGGAATTGCTTAAAAGTAATATTTTTCAGTAGGATTATTGAGAAGTAGGTGGCTACAAGACTATACTATTTTCCAGTGATCATACTGTGTAAAATATACAAAGAGATGTAATGAGTTTGTACAGTCAAAATAGTAGCCTGCTATATTCCATAGCTCATACATAGTTAATGTTTGCAAAGTTGCTGGTTTTATATATACCTATGCCTAGTAAGGCATCTAGTATTTGTTATCCAGGAATAACAGATTTGATAACTAACACATTGTCTAACAATTATCTTGATTTCACTAAAATCCATTGTATACATTAAATTTGATATTATAATGCTTTTGCCACTTAGATTCCAGTTGTCAGTATCTTAAAGGTAGTAAAATTTTCTCCTGTAGTGCCTTGACTGCCTCATCAAGTAACATATTTACAATTTAACTGAAATTAAACTGCATTTATGTTGGCATTTGTGTATCTTTCAGCTTATTTTTTACTAGTTACATTGTATAATGAAAGTA